TCCTGGAGCAGATAGAAGGAAAAGGCAGCACCGTCCAGTTTCGCCCTTCTTTTGGGACGATGGCCGCAGAGGGTGCGACCGGGCTGCAGATAGGAAACAGTACTTTTGTACAGTTCCTATAAAGAGCTCATTGTCCTTCAAAGGGCGCTCACCATGGAACAGCTCACAGTAAGTTCTCTGTCAACTCAGTTTCCATAGTTTCTCACAATAATGTTTTCCTTTCGGTCCCAGATTCGTCATTGTCTCCCCGGCCCCTGTACCCCTCCCTGGGCTCTGAGGCTGCAGCCCTGTCAATGGACCTGCCCGGCCCTCCTGTGTCCTTTGGGGAAGGACAGGGATCCTGGGATTAGACCCAGTGGGTGAGCCGCCCCCTTTACAGCCTTGAGAGAAAAGCCTCCCTCTCCCCCTTGTACCCTGAGTGTGGGGGCCTCTTTCGGCGCTCTGGGACTGGCCTCCAGGCTGCAATGTGTCCGTGCAACAACAGAGGGCACCAGTGCACTCTCTGAAGAACACTCCCAGCTCCTCCCCGAGTCCCCAGGGTCGTTTCAAATTCAGCCTTCCGGAGGTGTTGGAATCCCCTGAGGTAGTCCGCCCACGCTGACTTCCTAGATGCACTTCCTGCACCACCTGTTACCTCCTCTTTCCGAAGGGCTGTAGACTGGTAGGGGGAAAGGAAATCGGATTCAGGTCCCTTAGATAGCACAAGGGGACAGGATACCTGAAGGAAAGATTTAGAAGTAGTGGCAAGGGACACAATTAGTCATCTGTGGCATCTCTGCAGTCCCCTGAGGAGGATTCAAGGTAAGGTTTTATTTTGTTCTGATGGGCTAAGTCCAAGTATGGAAATATAGAAATAAGTGAGGCGCGACTGAATCATGATCCTAGGCTCAGGTCATGACCTCAGGGGCCTGGGATCAAGCTCCCCATTAGCCTCCCATGCTCAGCGGGGAGTCTGCTTTTCCCTCTCCCTCTGACCCTGTCCCCTCCTTGTGCTTTCATGTGTTCTCTCTTTCCAATGAATAAATTTAAAATATTTTTTTAAAAATTAAAAAACAAATAAGTGAAAGTAACAGGGGAGCAGGAGGCTAGTCAAAGACAAAGCACATGGTGACACCCCACCCCCACCCCTGCAACCACCACGCTACATTCCTGGATGGCATGTGTGACATTCCTCCAGCAGATTTCAACTATTAGCTTGATAGGAGCAAGTCCTTCAGTATCCTGAGGGTCTTCCTTTGCCTATGAAGTCCTTTTGGACGCTCCCTTTCTCCTTACCTCCGCCAACCCCATGGCACATAACCAATCAGTCATCCCTCCCAACTCCAGTGCAGCTCTTTCTGCCCAAGGGTCCTGACATCTCAAGAACTCCTGGCCTTCTGCTGCGCACCTCACCTACATTCAACACTACATCAAAGGGAACAAATCTTACCGAGAACCCACCATGTGTCATGAGACAATCCACATTTGTTGTTTTACTTCATTATAACAAAACAGATCTTCCATCCCCTTTTAGAATTAGCCAAAGAAACTAGGACCAAGAGAGTTTGGTTCCTTTACTTGTGGTCACATAGACATCAGTGGGAGATTGAAATTAGGTCCGACTCTGAAGCCAGGGCTTGCTCTCCAGACCTACAGGGAAAGCATCCAAAAACCTGGTTCGGCTTCTTTCTAAAGACGGGAAATGATCTTTGTGACTGACCACCAACTGGCTCACTTACCTGAAAGGTGTAGAGGAAGGGAATAAGAACAAAGTCTCTTAAAATAGGTATTTACAATGACCAAGAAGAAATAGATTCTCTATAGGAATTCTCAGTAGCCAAAGCTTATGTCAACCATTGCGCCTTAGTTCAAGCTGCCATAGTGAATTACCATAGACCAGGAGGCTGAAACAACAAACATTTATTTCTCATGATCTTGGGGGATGGATTCTGAGATCACAGTGCCAGCACAGTCAGGTTCTTGGTGAAGGTTCTCTTCTTACTTCCAGATAGCCCCTTTCTCCTAGTGTCTTCAATGGTGGGGAGCAGAGGGAGGAAACAAGCTCTCTGGTATCTCTCCCTCTTCTTTTTAGAGAGAGATAGGGTGTGTACACATGAGAGAGGTGGAGGAAGGAAGAGGGTGAGGGAGAGAATGTCAGGCAGACTTCTTGCTGATCATGGAGCCCCACATGGGGCTGGATCTCACGACCTTGAAATCATGATCTGAGATGAAAACAAGAGTCAGACACTCAACTGACTGTGCCAACCAGGTGCCCCTTTCTCTGGTATCTCTTTTTAAAAAAGGGATTATTCCCCTCATGAGAATTCCACTCTAAAGTCTTAATTACCTCCCCTACCCTCACTTCCAAATATTATCATATGAGGGATTAGGGTTCCAACATATTAATTTTTTGGAAGGGGTGACACAAATCCATAGCACATTGTGAAGAGATACTCTTCAGGAGAGAAGAAAGAATGGGTTGGAGAGGGGCAGTGGATTCCTCCCAGTTAAAAATTGGAATTCCAAGTGATTCCCCGTTATATCCTGGCCAGGTGAAATGAAGAGGATCTAAGCAGAAAGACAACAGGAGTGAGGGAAACTAAAGGGAAAAGGGAAATCTACCAAGTGCTCTTGCAAGAATACTTACAGGAGAGAAAATAAAAATATCTAATAAAAGTATGAAAAAGTATACTCTAAAAAGAACAAAAATTATCAAAATACCATGTTTTGCTTATAAAATTGAAAAGAAAATTTTAGTAACAATGTTTTATATTGATATGGGTGTTGTAAGTCCTATATTCTTTGACTGCTAATTACGGCACAGATGTATGCAACTAGTCTACAAAGCAATTTTGTAATGATGTTAAATTTTGCAGACATTAGTTAAATATCTGTTCCTTTCTAGTTCATAGTTTTTTATTGCTACATTTAAAAATTACTTCAAAACTTAGCAACTGGAAACAATAATAAATATTTATTGTCACATATAATTTCTGCTGAACTGAATTCAGAATGGCTTAGATGGGAGGTTCTAGCTTAGGGGTCTTTCATGAGTTTGCAGTCAAGTTTTCAGCCAGAGCTACAGTCATCTGAAGGCCTCACTGGACTGGAAAAACCACTTCTAAGATGGCACGTGGTTGCTGGCGGGAGGCTTCAGTTCCTTAATACCGCCCTATGGAGAAATCTAGAGGGTCTCCATGACATGGCAGCTAGCTTCCCAAAAAACAAAGGATCAGATAGCAAGGTAGAAGCTGCAATATCTTTTATGACCCAGGAAGTCACACCCCATCATTTCCATAATATCCTATTGGTTACAGAGGTCAGCACTGCTCAAGGTGAAAGGAGCTATGAACACTAGGAGACAAGGATCATTTGGGGCCATTTTGGAGACTGGCACCTGAGTTGCTACTTTCATGCTTGAAAGATTTGGATTTTCAAGAGCTCAATGATTAAAATGTAGGCCAGACCTTCTGTTAAGGGGATTCCAAAGTATATTTGTTTTGGGTTGTTCTTGGTACCACTTTTGAAGGTGGCTCAATTATACAATTTAGTTCCTTTACCTTGTTTGTCAGCAAGGGAGCAATGGGAAGACATCTTGGAAAATTACAAAGAAATCAAGCTTCACAGGAGATTGGTTTCAAACTGCTAACTTCTGATTGTAGCATTCAGGAGAAGGGCTTATATGTAACCAAGATATGGATTTTAACAATGGTTGTTTTTCACAGGGAGGACCTTGTCACCTTCTACAAGTTCAGCATTTATTCTCTCTCTGATTATAATATGCTCTTTCAACAGGATAGACTGGAACAAGATGCTTTTTACTCACACTTTTCTAAGATGTGAATTGCTCAGAGTTCTTCTACAGAGTCCTAGCAATTTATCTGTACTCCTTTAGAACAATTTTTACCTTGACTCCTTGGATCCTATTGATATACATGTCTAATTCAATCTTTCCATTAAAGTTACTTGAAATCCATGTTCATTTCTATTTCGTCTCTTTTCTCAATTCAGGACCTAATTTCTCTCCCTGCTCTCCAGTTTCCCCACTTTGCCTTCCTTTTATACGATCAGATAAACGCCTGTGCTCATTGCCTTAGAAGAGCCTATGAATTTTATTCGATTTTTGTATTCCAAAAGCCCAAGCTCTTGGGAGACTCGTATTGCTTGTTAGAAATCGCTGGAAAATGCACAGAGCTCTCCCTGCTCCAGACCCGGAGAGGGCCATGTAGACAGAAAGAAGGCACATCTCAGCAACCAGACGAGCAACCAGACGAGCTGATGACCCAGGATACCGAAGAGCAGATGGTTCCTTTGCCTCTCCATTTTGCACCACAGAAGTTACCCCAGCTGCCCAGGAAGTTAGGCAAAACCCGTGGAAAAGCGAATGGGGGCAAACTGTCTGAAACTAAGTTTCTGCCACCCCATCTGAATGGAGCTTGAATCGCAGAAAAATAAGGAAGGCTACATTTATTGCACATCCCAGTTTGTGGATCGGGATTCTTCTCTGCTACCTCTGTTGCTCAGTAAACGTTTATTAAATGAGCAAAAGAACTGAACGAATACATGAAACATACAAATTTGTAAAAGGTCCACGTTCACCCAGGGCGCATGCATTCTGATAAGGCTAAGTGGACTCAGGAGCACAGAGGCTGGGCTTCCAGAATTACGGCTGCTGGCAGCCCCCTGGCGAGGGGGTGGCCCCGGTGGCGAACCCCCTCCTGCAGTAACTGGGCTACTTCCCTTGGGGATACCATCTAGGGGAAATGCAGGCTGGGCTTCATTCTCCTAGGTTCCCAGTGGTGAGGGACGCGCCTCACAAGAAAGAGGACCAGTCTTAGTTTCTGGTAACGTTTGATAAAGCACTTTGCCTTGGCCTTAAGCAGGACGCACTCCAACGAGCGCTCACGCTCTCGGGGCTTTTTTCTAAAAGCAACACCTGCTGTCAGCTCTAGGCCCGCCCCTTCTGGGCCCGCCTCCTCGGGCCCGCAGGATTGGCTCTTCCTCCACTTCCGGCTTCTGGACCCGGGTGCACTCGGTTTCCGGTGTCATGGCACCCTGAGGTCCCGGCAGTCGGAGAGGCGGCGGCAGGCACCTCCCTGCGGAGCCGCTGGTCCCGCAGGCGGGGATGTGACCGCGGGCCCGGCCGGCCTGCCCCGGGCGTCGCTTCAGCTCCCGCGCCAGTGCCCTCCGTCCACACCGATGGCGGGATCCGGCTGCGCGTGGGGCGCGGAGCCGCCGCGGTTTCTGGAAGCCTTCGGGCGGCTGTGGCAGGTACAGAGCCGCCTGGGGAGCGGCTCCTCGGCCTCGGTGTACCGGGTGCGCTGCTGCGGCACTCCCGGCTCGCCCCCCGGCGCCCTCAAGCAGTTCTTGCCGCCAGGAACCACGGGCGCTGCGGCCTCGGCCGCGGAGTATGGCTTCCGCAAAGAGAGGGCGGCGCTGGAGCAGTTGCAGGGTCACAGGAACATCGGTAATGCCGCTGCCTCCGTTCTCTTCTTGCCCAGGACCCGGCCCAGCCGTACACCCCCTCTCAGCCTGGCGTTTCGGGTCCTGTCCTTAAGTCGGCGGGGGGGGGGGGGGGGGACTTGGGGGGGGCCCCCCCCCCCCCGCCCCATCGCCCCCCCCCCCCCCCCCCCCCCCCCCCCCCCCCCGGCCGGGGGGTGGGGGTGGGGGCCTTGGGGGGGGGGGGGGGGGGGGGGAAGACTTGGGTCTGGCCCTCTCGTCGTCGCCCGATCCAGGCCCCTTTCCCATCCCCCTTCACTCCGTCTGCAGTAGGGTGGAGGTGGTGGTCTGCTTTGCCCAGTGTCACGTAATAGATGCTCAGTTAAGTTCTGTTTTGCATCGGAGAATGCAGCACTTATTAGCATAGGGTTATCTTTTTTAAGAAAAGAGGCATATCTTGTCTAGATTTGTTATTTCTTGTATGGAAATTCTGAATCTTTGCATATCAGTGGAAAAATGAGAAATCCTTCTGGGGCTTGTGATAATGCTAATAACTCGTACAGATGTTATCTGATACATATTTGGTATGGATTTGGGGGAAATGACTCAGTATTCACATAGGAGTCCTCTGGAAGTGTGGAAATTAGGAACACTTTATACCTTTACCCTGGTAAGACTATGTTACATGATATAGATATTCACAGTATAAGATATATGGTTACTGATGATTGATTTATGAAAAGTCTTCACTGTCATTACACTGAGTTTATAGTTATAGCTTTGGCTAATAAAGAAATGTCTTTCTTCCTGACAAGCATAATCTGTGTGTAATTTGAAGAGTTGCTTTTTTTATTTTACCACTTTAGAGAAGAATTTCTTAACCACTAGTGTTGACTTTTTTTTTTTTTTAAGCTTGCTAAATGATGTATATAACCCTGGTAATTTAAGAGTGAAAATGTTTTTTTTTTTTTTCTCTTCAGTTTTTGCAAGCTTGAGGACTTGTTGAATCCCTGCAAGACTTAGTTAAATTGTCATCTTGAAAGACTTAATCTTGTAATATTTATTTACTTATTTTCCCCCTCTTTTTAATATTTAGATTATAGAATGCTATTTTGGATCAAGAACCAATTTCCAATTTTGTTTTTGCAGATTATGACATCCATCTTAAGGGTCCATAATGTTTAGATTTTATTTTTAATTATTTTTGCCTGGTACCCTGAGTGTATATTCATCTACTGTGAATACTTAGTGAAATACAATTTGGTTATTGTGCCATATTTAATATCTTTTACTAGTATTGAGCTGTGGAAGCTTTTCTCATCTTGTTTCATTAAAATAACCCAGTTGCCAAAAAATCTTACTTTTGGGAGAAATAAATTGCAGTGGAAGCATGACGCTTATCTGAGTTATCCCAGATTTGCACTGAAGAGGTAGCTATGTTAGTTGTAACTTATTCTGAGTCTGATTTTTAAAGCATTATAACTCGTTTCTTTTTCTAGTGACTTTGTATGGAGTCTTTACAATCCACTTCTCTCCAAATGTGCCATCACGCTGTCTGTTGCTTGAACTCCTGGATGTCAGTGTATCGGAATTGCTTTTATATTCCAGTCATCAGGGTTGTTCCATGTGGATGATACAGCATTGTGCCCGGGATGTTCTGGAGGCCCTTGCTTTTCTTCATCATGAGGGTTATGTCCATGCAGACCTCAAACCACGTAACATATTGTGGAGTGCAGAGAATGAATGTTTTAAACTCATTGACTTTGGGCTTAGCTTCAAAGAAGGCAATCAGGTAAGAAATAATAATAGGGGTGCTTTGGTCAACACTTAGAGGTATTTCTACCTAAAATAATGCTTGGTGGGTGCCTGGGTGACCCTGTGGGTTAAGGCTCTGCCTTCGGCTCAGGTCATGATCTCAGGGTCCTGGGATTGAGCCCCGCATCGGACTCTCTGCTCATCAGGGAGACCGCTTCCCCCTCTCTCTCTGCCTGCCTCTCTGCCTACTCGTGATCTCTCTCTCTTTGTCAAATAAGTAAATAAAATCTTTAAAGTAAAATAAAATAATTCTTGGTGATAAAGCAAATAAAAAGAATTTCATTGCCACCATGTAAAAAAAGGGTGGATATTTGGGCTAGGTAGGCTAATTAACTAACGGGTAATTACTCTTACTGCTGCCTTCAGTGTTGGCACTCTGTCTCATGGCAGAACACACATAACAGTTCTGGCAAACCCTCCAGAGTGTCCTTATTTATCAGCAGTGCCTAACAGGAGACTCTCTGAAGAAATGAGCTGCTGTGTGGAGAGTATACAGCTTGCCTGTGAGAAGTGCCCAGATGATGAACCAAATAATTAGGGTAGCCAAGGACTAAAAATTTTTTGGCATTCAGTTTGGCAGTGGTTTATTATACTTTTAGAGGAGTAAATACGCTGTGGCGATGGAAAGTGAACAGTTTTTTATTGGTTGTAATATTTACTCATCTTCTTTAGGATGTGAAGTATATTCAGACAGACGGGTATCGGGCTCCAGAAGCAGAACTGCAGAATTGCTTGGCCCAGGCTGGCCTGCAGAGTGATACAGAATGTACCTCAGCTGTCGATCTTTGGAGCCTAGGAATTATTTTACTGGAAATGTTCTCAGGAATGAAACTGAAACATACAGTCAGATCTCAGGAATGGAAGGTAAATCATACCAGTGCTTTCGTTTGGAGTCCTTCATTCTGATTTAAAAGTACTCGGTTTATCATGATTCTCACTGGGGATGCTGTTTACTTCATCTGTAATACACTCCTCTTCCTGCATGTTCGATACCTTCAATGCTACTATTCGTTTTCATAGCTACAGATGTGCTAGTGAGTATTGTACACTTGCTGATCTTAGCCTGGGGCCTGATGGGTAATAAATGCTCGATAGAATGAATAAATGCAGAAGTGATTCAGTTATACTACATCCTACAATATTGCTAATACAAGTATAAGTTTAATGATAATCTTTACATAAAGCTTTACAGGTACTACTTTATAGTTAAAAGTATTTTAATGCACAATCTCATTGAATTTCCTAACAATGCTATGAAGATCTTTAGTGTATTGGTTATTCTTTTACAACTGAAAAACTGGAGGCACAGATACATAAACCACTTACTTGGTCCAGGTCATACCATTAGATGTTCCAGACCTGGGCTTCATACTCTGTTCTTGCTGTTCGAGTTCAGCGTTCTCTCCAAGTTCCACAGTGCTTTATATTAATTTACATTCCATATATGAACTATCCTGGTGAAGTGAGTACTGCTTATAACGTTGTTTTTGTGGGAATGTGAGTTCGAAATTCCAAATCTCTGACATAACGATGAACTTTTTGTTGTTCATACCTTAAAAATTAACTACATTATGTTTTCAAACATGTTGTAGGGCCCAAGTGTTATGATGGTATCAGCATCCTTTAGGCTAGAGGTTTGATAAGTAATACAATGTTTTGGAATCATTATTGGTTTTCATATTTAGCAACAAGTATTTTTCGAGCATCTAGTAATACATAGTTTGTGTATGGCTAGTGTACCATGTAGAGTTATATTTCTTTTCAGCCCTTAGTCATCTGTTTCTGGAAGTATTTCTGGAAGGAATGCTTTAATAGTCTTGTGGGTGTACCTAATGCTTACTTTTGGCAAAAAATGCTACCATGCAAGTAAAACCAGTATCGTTATTCTGCATTGGTACTTTCACCCAACCTAGAGACTGAGTGGTCTTTCTTCAGTGCTAATCCAAATATAGATCAATTACTTGCATTAGTTTTGATTATCTTTGAGACCTTTGGACTGTATCTGCTTGGTCCTGAGCTGATCAGAACTAGGTCACGTTCAGACATTTTTGTATGTAATTGGGAGGTAAGATCTATATTAAATCCTCAGTATTCACTCCTCTAAATAAAGACAGTATTTTATATTTTAATCACCTTTGGGAAGGCAAAATTGCCAAGTGAGTATGAGTGTAGGCTCTGAAGTCAAACTACTAGGGTTTATATCTTGCCTTCACCTCTTACTTGTTATTTAGGGTTACTGAACCATGATTTACTTTCTATAAAATGAGGGTAGTAGCATTTTTCTTACAGAAGAAATTGAGGTTAAAAAATAAATAATGCCTAGTTCTTAGCATAGTGATAAGGATTGCATCTGATCTTTTTACTCATGTACACACTTCTGAGACAGCTTAGTACTCAGGGAGAAAAGTTATGTTCCATAGGATTTAGAGTATGAATAATGTGAGGGATGCAATTTTTAGGTACTGCATTACTTCCTCTCTGGTGGTGTAGTTGTATCTGAAAACCAGTTAAAGACTCTCACCAAGACACTTGGACTCAACTCTCACACACTCATTTTCTCACTTTGTATGAAACTACATTTTTATAAGGTTGCTCTGGTATTCTTACTCATTCATCTAGTAAATATTCATACAGAGTGCCAGGTACTGTGCTGGGTGCTGAGGATAGAGAAGAGAGTTCCTCCTCCAGAGGCTTATAGTTATGCACATAATCCCCTCCAGTAAGATTATAAGCTCTTTAAAGAGTGTTTTCTTTTGCATTTTACCTACCAAACAGTATGGTGCTATGTGGCTAGTACTCAGTAAATACAGAATGAATTGAATAACCGAAGGAAGACTTTTCTCCCTTTTTTTAGGCAAACAGTTCTGCTATTATTGATCACATATTCGCCAGTAAAGCAGTGGTGAATGCCGCAATCCCAGCCTATCACCTAAGAGACCTTATCAAAAGGTACATCGTGTGTACTTTCAAGTTCCTGTTTGTACATTTATCACATAAAGGTTATTTTTGTTTTGTCTTTGTTTGGATTTTACTGAATGGATCACGTTGAGGCTCTTCCTGGCAGTCATATCTTTGGTCTCTTGTGGCTCTGGCAGTCCTGTATGCTTGGTGGACATTAGGTTTTTGTTTGTTTTTGGTTTTTGTTTGTTTTAGGCTTTTTTTGAAAGTAGGGTTTTAAAGAGCGTCTTTACTGACTAAAGACTGAGTTTGCTTTTGGACTACCAAAAAAAAGTTTAAAATAAGGTAGCTATGTACTATACTTTAAATAATTACTTCTGGGCACTCTGGGGACAGATACTGTGTTTCTGATTTCGGAATAGGTCCAAGCACAGCAGATATTTTCAAATAAGACATAATGTGTATTACCAAGTAGTTGGCTTTTCACATTTCTAGCATTATGGACCAGAAACGAATAAAATAATAGTTATGTTGCAACACGATAGATCTCCCGATCAAGTCAGAATATTACTCTTTCTTTGGAATATTGACCCTATAAACCTTTCAGCTAGGTCTTTGGCGGTTTTTTGTTTTTGTTTTTGATTTTTTTTTTTTTAGAGCTTTTTATTTTGAAACAATTACAGATTCATGGGAAGTTGCAAAAATGTTACAGAGAGGTCTGTGTGCCCTTCATCCAGTTTCCCCCAGTGGTAACATCTAATGTAACTGGAATACAATATCAAAATGGGAAATGGACATTACGGTCCACAGAATTCACTCAGATAAGAACTTAAAAATTTTACTGGCACTTATTCATGTATGTTTGTGTGTTTTACCAATTAGTTTTCAATAGCTGTTACTATCTGATTGGTATTAGCTTTACAAATGGCATTTTACGTGGAAAAGATGGCATTGTGAAATTATGTGAATAATGGGTTCTAACTTGGAAGTCAAATCATATAAAAACTGGTATTGACTTTGTTTTTGTTTTTATTTTTTGGCGCAAAAAGGTGATTTATTAAAGCAGGGGACAGGCCCCGTGGGCAGAAAGAGCTGCTAGTATTGACTTTGTTATTTTGGATTTTTCCCCCCTTGATTGTGCAGCTAACACTACATTTGGAAGCTATGGAGAATTGTGATCAGCAAAATAAAAATTATAAATCTACTCTCTAGTGTTAGCACTTTGGTGTATTTCTTTTTAGTATTTTTCTATGGATTTTGCTGTGTATGCATGCAAATTATTTGAACCATTTTTTATTGTAGAATAGAGCACAGATGCCGAAAACAAATGTGTAACTTCATGAGTCCCTAGGAATACTCTTGTAGTCACCATTCAGGTCAAGAAATATAACTTTGCCAGCTACCCCAGAAATTCTCTGTGTCCCCATCTTAATTTTCAGTCCTTCTTCCTCCCTAAAAGTAGCCACTGCCTTGACTTTTATGGTAATTACTTCCTTGTTTTCGTTATAGCATGTATCCTTAAACACTATGGTTTATTGTTGCTCTTCTAAACAAAAGTCTCTTTTAGGTTTCTTTTAATCTGAAAGATCCTTTTCCATCTCCTACCCCGCTTTTCCCTTGTTTACTTGTTGGTCAACCTAGGTTGTTGGCTCAGTATAGCTGTCTGCAGTCTGAATTTTGCTGATTGTGTTAATCCTTGTGTAGCGTAACATTTCTGTTTTCCTATATATTGGTAGTTATATCTAGAGGGTTACATTTTTTTTTTTTTTGGCATGACGGTAGATGGTGTTATGTTTTTTTATTATAAGGAGGCACATAATATAGCCATCTCTGTTTTATGTGTTAGTAACTGTTCATGTTACTTTGGATCCATTACTTTGTTAGGGGCTGCAGAATAGGATGTTCTCATTCTGTCATTCTGCTTCTTTTGGTTAACCAAAGACAAAATAAATGCTTGATTCTTTCTCTCTTTGTTTACTAGTTTTCGTAATGAGTTGATTCCTGTCATCCTCCAAAGGGGACCATTTCCTTTTGAAAGTTCAGTGTGTTTTGATTTGGTAACTGCAAATGATTGCAGTTCTTATCCTCACCGAAGCTAAAATTGCCCCGTCTTTGATGACTGTGAGCTGTGTGAGTTGGTTTCGGCGGACCTTATTATCTTTTATAGCTTCTTTGCTCTCTGGTGTGACAAGATGTTCCCAATTCGTCTTACACATTTCCTGTCCCACACTTGGAAGTAGCCATTTCTCCAAGAAGCCTGATTTCTTTTAGTAGGAAATAGCATTTTAAAAAAACAGTCTGGGTTTTAGGAATACTCCTTGCTACTGGGATGGTCATTGTTTCTAGGCCTTAAAGTGGATGTAGTTCATACTGTTATTTCCAATTCAAATTTGAGACCAGAGGTTTTATTTAACTTGTATTTCACATCTCTTTCTCCTTCTGTGTAAAGAATTATGGTTCTTAAGGACAAGGGGAATGCTAGAATTAGAATATTTTGTAATTACTCATTTGCTTTATTCCAGCTTACAATTAAAACGGTCTCAGAATGATAATATTCTAGGAAGATTACTGAAATTATTTTTGCATGTGCTTTTCCCATTCTTTCTCATTTGAAAATTAGTTGTATCTGTGTCATCAGTTTCTGTAACCATTATGTACCATACACTCTGTTTGAACTCTCGCATTTATTCTTAGTTCTGCATGTAGCTGCACATTACCGTTCACCCCTGGTCCTTGTGGGGCTGTCTCTCTCATCGTTTGAGTTTCCGAAGCTTGATCTCTAGAGACCGTAGGCATGTTCCCTGAGCTCTTGCTTGCCGGTGGTCAGTTGTGCTTATCATACTGGAGAGTCATTCATCTGGGTATAAAAAATGAGTGGCATTCTTTTTTTTCTTGAGTGTCTTAAAACATATTATTCCATTTTATCCTGGCATGTAGAGTTGCCTTTGAAAAGTCTAAAGACACTTTTAATTGTCTTTATATTAAAAAAAAAAAAAATACTCAGTTGGTCTTTTTGTCTAGATGGCCGGACAATTTCATCATTTTAAAAGTCTATTGATTTTGGGGCGCCTGGGTGGCTCAGTGGATTAAGCCTCTGCCTTCGGCTCAGGTCATGATCTCAGGGTTCTGGGATCGAGCCCTGCATTGGGCTCTCTGCTCAGCGGAGAGTCTGCTTCCCCCTCTCTGCCTGCCTCTCTGCCTACTTGTGATCTCTCTCTCTCTGTCAAATAAATAAATAAAATCTTTAAAAAAAAAAAGTCTATTGATTTTACCAGAATATATCTTGATTTTGATTGTTCTGGGTTAATATTGTCCGGAAAATAGTTTCAGATCTTTTTGCTCATTTATTTTAGGGTGGTGTTCTTAAATTACTCTTTTTAGTATTCTTTCTCTTGCTTTGGTTTTCTCCTTCAGGCACTCCTATTGTACATATATTGGATTTTCTTTGACAGTATTCATTATTCTTATTTCTCTTGAATTTTTTTTAATCTCTTGTATTCTTTTTGATTTTATTTTTTTTTAAGATTTTTTTTATTTGTTAGAGACAGAGAGCATACACAAGCAGGGGAAGTGGCAGGCAGGAGAAGCAGGCTCCTGGGTGAACGAGGAGCCGATGCGGAACTTTATCCCAGGACCCTGGGATCATCATCTGAGCCAAAGGCAGACACTTAACTGACTGAGCCACCCATGCGTCCCTGTTTCTTTTTGATTTTTAAAAATGTTCCTTTCCACCTTCTATCTATCTTTGAGATACTATCGCTGTATTTGTTCATCTTTCAAGTTCTTGTAGCTTTATTTTATGAAGTTATTTTTTTATTTCTAATTCTTTCTGGAGTTCTATTACCTAATTATTGAGATTTTCTAATTTTGATTCATCATATCTTTTATCGTTTTTAAAAACATCGTTTGCTCATTTTGAAACAGTAGGTTATCATGTCCATCTGTGTTCTTATCATGTCTTTCTGGCATGCATTCGTTGCCTCGGGGCTGTCATTTTGCAGTTTTGTCTTTTGTGTAATAATTTTATTAGTAATACTTTTTATGTGGTTCACTTTTTTTTTTTAATGTGGTTCACTTTTATATGAAATTCATTTCCTAAACTTACAGAAGAAGGTGTAGTTGGGATAGCTTTTCTAATTGTAGAGGGCTCTTCTTGTTTTTATGTAATGTTAAGGGGGGGGTTGTTTTTATTCTGAAGTCTCTGCCTCTTCTCCTCTGTTCCTTTTTTCCTGGTGTCTCTCTCTCTCTCTGTTAATTTTATTTACTACATCCTACTCAATTTGGATTCCATTTTCCAGATTTCTATTCTCTGTGGGACTTTGCCCTGGGAGGGAGTTTTAGCTAGTTCATTTTGAGAAGTCATAATGTCTAGGTTATTCCAACCCCTTCAGATTTTACAGACTTCTTGCATTCACTTGGAATTAGAATGTATACCCCCTTGTAGTTACAGTTGCTTTTTTCCAATTGACTTACTGTGCTTTCCAGTCTGTACCTGTTGGATATTTTGGGTTATTTTCTCTGCTTCATCAGATCATCTGTTGCTTTTCTCTGCTTCCTTCCACACAGATGTTGATATGGTGCAAGGCTTACTACTATGATGGTTTGTTCCTAGCCTTTTGTATTTTGGTATTTATTGGGGTTGCTTAGTTTTGTGGTAAACATCATCCATGGGTTTTTGATTTTGTTACCAAGTTGTGCTGTTGTAGGGGGATTTGATAGAATTCAAAAATCATCTCACCACTGTCATCTTTTTTTTTTTAATTTGGATTACCTAAATTTACGTGTAGCTTTTTTTTTCCCCACTTAATGTTATATAGTATGGGTAACCTTCCCATGTTGCATTTATTAATCAGAAACATTATTTTAAAATATAATATTGTGCCATAGGTATGTATCATGAATTACTGAACCATTTACTTAGAAATAGCTTTGGGGCACCTGGGTGACTCAGTCGGTTAGGTGTCTGCCTTTGGCTCAGATCATAATCCCGGGGTCCTAGTATTGAGCCTTGCATCAGGCTCCCTGCCCACTGGAAGTCTGTTTCTCCCTCTCCCTCTGCCGCTCTCCTGCTTGTGCTCTCTCACTCTCTCTCAAATAAATAAAATCTTAAAAAGAAAAAAAGAAAGCTTTTATATTTTTTTGTAGCTGAATGGCTCAGTAAGCCATGCTAATATAATTAATGTTGTGATGAACACTTAGACATTTTAATTTCTTTAATGGTTTCATTTTCAAAAGATTTTTTAAAAAGATTTTATTTATTTAATTTTGAAAGAGAGCACAAGCTGGGGAGTGGCAGGCAGGCAGAGGGAGAGAGAGAAGCAGACTCCCTGCTGAGCAGGGACCCCCCCCCCCCTTATGTGGGACTCGATCCCAGGATCGTGGGATCATGACCTAAGCTGAAAGCAGATGCTTAACCAGCTGAGCCACCCAGGTGCCCCTCATTTTCAGAATTTGACAGTAATTATAAAGATACATGTTTTTGTGTTTTAGCATGCTTCATGATGATCCAAGCAGAAGGATTCCTGCTGAAATGGCATTATGCAGCCCATTCTTTAGCATTCCTTTTGGTAAGTTGCATACGTGTTTATTTTTCCTTGGTTGTTTTACAATCAGATAAGACATCAGAGCTCACTTACACTCCCAAGCTCTTTTGCCTAGTGTTCATCCATTGATTTTCGTGAGTTTACATTTAACCGTGTTACGATGAACCTTAACAGCCCCTCATATTGAAGACCTGGTGATGCTTCCTACTCCAGTGCTAAGACTGCTGAATGTGCTGGATGACGATTATCTGGAGAACGAAGAGGAATATGAAGGTAACTGCTTCCTAAATTGTATTTTATGTCTTTTACAAGTAGAGTAGACGTATTGTTTCATAAGGTTCTCTATTCTCTTAATTTACATATTGAGGATATTGAACTACATGATTTCTAAAGGATCTCACTTTTTGATTCCTGTTGTAGATTGAATATGTCCCCCCAGAATTCATGTGGCAAAGTCCCAGTCACCAGTGTGCTAGTATTTTGAGTTGGAGCCTTTAGGATTTAATAGGACTAGGTTATGTCCTGAGGGTGGGGCTTTTTTTTTTTTTTAAGATTTTTTTTTTTTTTTTAAATTTATTTGACAGAGATCACAAGTAGGCAGAGAGGCAGGCAGAGAGTGAGAGGGGGAAGCAGGCTCCCCGCTGAGCAGAGAGCCTGATGCGGGGCTCCATCCCAGGACTCTGGGATCACGACCTGAGCCTAAGGCAGAGGCTTTTAAGCCACCCAGGCGCCGGGCTGGGGCCTTTTTAAAAAGAGGAGGAAACAGGAGAGCTCTCTGCTGCGTGAGGTTATGGCAAGAAAGCCGCCAGGTACATGGGACACTGAATCTTCCTATAACTTGCTGTGGGAATTCCAGCCCTTGGGACCAGAGAAGTAAATATGTGTTATAGAAGCCACCCAGTCAGTGTTTGTTATGGAAGCCACTCAGTCCGTGGCATCTTGTTAGAGCAGCCCGTTTAGGCAAAGATGATTCCTCGGGCCCATTGGACTCCTTCACATTTCATAAGCCTTTCCTGAATTAATCAAGGTTAATTTTTCCAGCATGTTCTTTCCATCTGCTCTTTCTAGTCCTGCCCCGTGCTTCCATTTCTCCATCTTAGCTCTCAGTTTTGCTTTTAACAACTCATTCCTTCCGTGTTCACTGAGGACTGGCTCTCTTCTTGCCTCAAGTATAGGAACAAGCGGGATTATTCCTTGTCTTTAGCGTAAGAGAGAGAGTTATGTCAACAAATGGTTGGAGTTTGATAAATCCGGAAGTAGGGTAATACACAGAGGCAGAGAGGAAAAGCACTAAACTCATGACACCATGAGGGTGTCTCTGGAGGTGATAGCCAAGCTCTGTCAGTAACTGGAGTGGTTTGGTTCCCAGTGGAGGGGTTGGTGAGGAAATGGCACAAAGACACAAAGATGAGAGAAAGTATGGCATGTGCCAAGAATAGTGAACTGTTGGGTATGTTCGTATGGTAGGTTATTTATTGGGGAGCAGTTAAAGAAATAGCCAAAAATATAGATACATAACAGACTCGTTTGCTGTGCTAAAGAATTTGGATTTTATCCCAGGGATAATAACACTGCAGTGTGACACCAAAGAACTTTGTATCAGGAGTAGAATAGTCCCTGGGTTAAAAGTACCCAGTATATTTGTTCTCTGTTGAATGTAATAAGAACCATTAAAAAATTAGGAGGGGTGCCTGGGTGGCTCAGAGGGTTAAGCCTCTGCCTTCGGCTCAGGTCATGGTCTCGGGTCATGGTCTCGGGGTCCTGGGACCAAGCCCCGCGTTGGGCTTTTGGCTCAGCAAGGAGCCTGCTTCCCCCTCTGCTTGCCTCTCTGCCTACTTGTGATCTCTCTCTCTCTGTGTCACATAAATAAATAGAATCTTTAAAAAACAATTGGACTAGGAGAGTGATATAGTCAGACTGAGGTTTTTGTAAGAGCAGTCTGAGAGCAGAGTGGTAAATGGACTAAAACAGAACGAAATTTAAAAATAGATGCTCACTGAAACTGTACAGATGAGATCGTTGTCACCTCATGTGGACGGTGAAAATGTTTGATAGCCCTCTTACTGGTAGAGTATAGGAGAATATTTTCATCATTGGAGAGAGTTTAAATTGCTAAACTTTATGAAAGGCAGATTGGTAATTCTAACAAACTTAAAAATTCATATTCATTTTGTCTTAGCAGTTCCACTTCTAGAGTCAACTTGGAAGTACATAAGTGAAATGAGATAGATACAGATTTATCTGTTACAGTATTTATAAGGGCAAAAAAATTGGAAATAGTTTATTTGGTAGTAGGGGACACAGTGGAGAATTTATTGATCACTCATAGGGTGAAATAATTACACAATCATAAAAACAAATGAGAAAATTGCACACAGTAATATTCAAGAATCTTCAAGATGCAATGTACTAATATAGAAAAAGTGAGACTGGAATTTTTACTTAGTAGAAAAAAGCATGTATGATCATGTTTGCTTGTATAACCTTAAAATATTTACGGAAGGACGCAGAAGAAACTGATAATGTTTGTTGCCTTCAAGGAGAGGAAGAGAGGCAGTTGGAAAACTGGGAAGAAGACATTTTGGGGGGGGTCATTTGAATATTAACTGTTCAAAATATTAAATTTAACAGAATTATTAGATGCATTGAATTTATATTAGTTTTAAGCTTAATTCTAGATGATGTAGAAAATGACCTCATTACTTAGATATGGATTCCTGAATTCTTTGGTGCTTTAAAATTTTTAAATAATGAATGCTTGGTAATTACAGCAAAGTGGTTACTGTTCTGTGTTTTCATAATCAGATGTTGTAGAGGATGTAAAAGAGGAGTGTCAAAAATATGGACCAGTGGTATCTCTCCTTGTTCCAAAGGAAAATCCTGGCAGAGGACAAGTAAGTGAATGTTTCTATAGTTTCAGAATTATTCAGAGGTTACTAAAATCCTGAGCAAATGTTTTAGTTCTATAGTACACGAAAATGTTGCTAGAAATGATGAATTTTGCATCATGGTTATTTTTATTTTCCTGTACTTTTCATTTTTTTCCCCAAGGTTCTGTAATATGCATGCTTTTTATATGGGTTAGAATTTTTTTTTTCTTAAAAAGTGTTCTCTACTTTTGAGCCATTGTGAAAAGTGACACCAACTGTATCATATACTAATTCAGGTCATGTCAGCTACAGAAATATTATGGCCTACTTTTGTTCTAATTAAGTAGAGTTAGAAAACCATTTAGGTTAGGTTCTCATTTTAATGGAATCATCGGTGCTAATTTAAAGAGGGAAAGTGTGCCAACAGAATCCTGAAATCGGAGCTCTGGTCTTAGTGTGACTGACTGACTGTGTGATGATGATCCTTAGTGCTCGCATCTCTAAAATGTACAAGCGAGAACTGTGAGTCTCAGTTTTGGGGGAAAGAATATTAGAGAAATCTTCTGAAAGCTCTTTTGAAGATCTTTCTTTTATCTGTAGTATATTTACTTTTCTGGGAACAGAATATTGTTTTATTCAGGGTTTCTCAACCTGGACACTGTTGACCTTTGAGCCAGCATCTTGGCTGTGGGAGCGGCCACTAGGTGTTTAGCAGCCATCACTGCCCTCCGCTCTGTAGATCCCCTCCCCCACTCCCCTTCTCAGTTGTGGTGATCAAAAGTACCTCTCAACACTGCCAAATGCCCCCTGGTGGGTGAAATCACCTCTGGGTGTGGATTGTTATTTTATCCTTTGGTTCAGTATTTTGAAAATGCTTGGCAACTGAAGAAAGAAATGAAAGAAATTTCACTCTAATCTTAGTGAAAAGTTATTGCCAATGTAGTAATAATATTTACCTCGTTTAGTGCTGGCAGCATACTATATGCATAATTGCTGTTTATTTAGTCAGCTGGTATTTATTGATCATCTGTTACGTTCTAGGCCCTGATACAACAGTGATCAAAAGAGGCACAAGGATATAGTGATAAGTGCTCTGGGGGGAAGGTCTCAGAAGAGGTTTCATAAGTGCCTGGTAGGGAGGATTATAGTTCCATGTCAGTGGTGGGGAAGGCCATACTGAGGTTTCATTTGAGTGGAAATATGAAGGAGATAAGGAAAAGAGTTCAGGCATAAGGGATAGCAGGCTCAGAGGCCATAAGTTTGCCTGGCAGGTTTGAAAGGGTTAGTGTGACTCTAGCAGAGTGAGAAAGGGGATATGGTGGATTTGCTCACAGGGGTGAGGGGGTGTAGGGTGAACCTTGTGGGACTCAAGACAGCACTGGCATTTACTCTAAATGAGAGGGGAAGATCTTTGAAGACTTTGAATGAAGGACTAACACGATCTGACCCAATGTTAACCTCATCCGTCCGTATGAAATAGAAGACATAGAATAGAGAAACAGAAGGAATATTTTCGGGATAGAAGTATCCCGGTTTCAAACAATACAAAAAAATAAATATTCATCAGCAAGAGGAAATTTGCTATGTTAAGAAGCTTTCATTGACGTTTAGAGGAGAATGAAAACAACCGATGAACTTGTGGCCTCACGGGTTTAACTTCTCCAGGTTGTTGAAATGTCAGTTGGCAAAGTCAGTCTTCATTTGAATTTTCCATTCAAATTAACAATGCTGTGGATTTTTTTTTTAAGAATATTTTAAAAATCACTGAAAACATGAATTATGGAATGGATCTCATAATTACAAAAGTAGTCAAGATTAAATTGATAAAATTATTTAATCTCATTGTAAATTATAAAAATGTTTCTCCTCTTTTGTTTGGAATGACGTAATATATAAAACTGTGGGTTGTCTCTGAGGTGAGGAGCATGCTAGAGAGCGGGGCATTCCTTCCGTAAGTGCATGTCTACTTGTTGAACTTCGTTGTATGGATTTAGAAGTCATTGAGAATCAGGTTAAAAATAATTTCAGAAAGAGCTTCATTCTTCTCACTGGGCATCATCTTCTAACTTCTCTTTTGTAGTCAGTGAAAAAGCATATGTTGCTAGAACTAACTGGTCCTACAGCCAGCATATACTTTCATTTTCTGTAAAAAAGGGGATATAAAGTATTAAGTATTTCTAAAATGAATAAAATAAGCATTGACTGGTTAGAGTATGGTTTTAAGATATAATTAGATAATATAGTTCTCACCTACATTATTATGTGAAGTCTGCATACTCTGAAAGAAATCACTGGATGGTATTGATAGCATTTTCTCCGTGCTGTTCGGTTTAAAGTAAACAGCCTGACTTACCGTACTGAGTTGGCCATTTGGAAGTGTTTTTATCTCCAGCTAATAACACAGTTAAGGATGGCTTTTAAGAATAGCTAAAAATCCCCACTTAGCTTTATATATATGAAAATCAGGGCAATTTTTAGTGCTGGATGATCTCTCATGAGGAACACGTAGCTTGAGAATAGTCGTGGCATGGGAGAGGAAGAGAGTCTGTCATCTTTCCACTTAACAGTATACAGGAATTCAGAAAATTCCATCCTGGGCCAGAGTATCTGAGGCCTGACGTCATGCATCATCCATAACAGAAATACTCACGTAAGACGGGGAGTGAGCAGTCTGGGAGTAGTGCTTTGCTTACCAGTGAAGGAAGATTCATTTAAAGAGTGCTGTATTTGGAATTGTCTTTCCTTTTCATGCCCTGGAGGTTTTTAATACCCTTTGGAAATAATTTTATCAGTGGGAGAAGGGCTCCCACGAAAGGGGAAATGAAAAAGGAGACTCTTGCCTCGAACTACTGGGTAGATCCGATTTTAAGAGAAGGTACAAGTAAAAGCTGAAAATTGGTTTCCTTCAGACAGTCTGTTTTTGCTTCCCTTTGAAAGTCCGAGTGTCTAGGATGCTGGCACCCAAGTTTGAAGACTGTTGACATCTCAGATGAGCACGTAACTGAGAAAGATGAGGCCGTTCTTTTTCTGGTTCACAAATTTATGGGTAACTGAGGACAAGTCATTTAAAATGATTTTCCCTCTGAGTAACTTTGGCTTTAGATCAACAAAAAGAGCATAAACTATTACGCTGTATCCTCTACCTGTCTCAGGTCAGAATTCAGATACTCTGGAAACAGAGATTTTACTTAGTTTTAAACTTACTCTTCACAGTAGTTAAGGCTTCTATGAGTCTTTAATAGGTGTAAAATCCGGTGACCTTGACTGGTAGTTTCTCCTCCTTCCTCTTCTAAGAGTGCGGACTGTCTTCCAGGCACCGTGGAGTGCATTTGCTCCCCGGGCTGTATGGCCCTGCCTCTGGCACACGTCCGCTGCTGCTCACCACTCCTGCAAGAACATGGCCAGTGGGTGTATATTTTTCACTCGACTTGTCTTCGATGGATTTTTCAGAATTGAACTGTGTAAAGGAATTGTTCTAACCTTGCTGCTCAAAAATGTGGTCCACGGACCAACCGCATTGGCATTGCCTGGGAGTTGACTTAGAAATGCAGAGACTCAGGCCCACGTTAGACCTCCTGAAACTGAGTGTGCATTGTAACAAGGTCCCCAAAAGATACTTGTGTGTCCACTAAAGTTGGAAAAGCCCTGTTCTGGAACAGTCTTGATGGAAATGAAGCCGACTTTGTTTTCTCTGTCCTCTTACAGGTCTTTGTTGAGTATGCAAATGCTGGTGATTCCAAAGCTGCTCAGAAATTACTGACTGGAAGGATGTTTGATGGGAAGTTTGTTGTGGCTACATTCTACCCGCTGAGTGCCTACAAGAGGGGATATCTGTATCAAACTTTGCTTTAATCAGTAACCTGAGGACTCTTTCCTGTTTCTCCTCCATTTCCTGGGTTATTGTATTCTATATCTGAATGCAGAAGTACCCCCTTACCATTTTAAGGGAATACTTTGTACATTTATTTAATCCTACTAATGTGCAGTTGAGCAATGGCTGCATTGCAAACATTTGGCACCGAGTAGGACAAGACCTCTCAGCTATACCTTGAGGGGTTTTAGAGCATCCATACGGGCAACCCTTTTTTTGTGCAGTAGGGCAAGTGCTGCTCTTCAGTATGTAACCTAAAAGGATATTAATTATTTCATGTGATCATGAAGCAAGGATGAGTAATATCATGTCATAGTGAATATTAACAGATTTGGTAAGAGTCGGTGCCGGCCCTCACGGATCGTTCCTTTACTCTGTGGGGCGGTTCTTCCTCATCCCAGATCTTCACAGCTGGCTCTGGACGCTCCCAGTCATTGTTAAGTGACCGTCAAGCAGCGATGACCTACTGTGTTCCTCACACTGAGTTATGAATTTTTTTAAAGGAGTACTGTAGTACTGAATATTCCTTTAAAGAAACTGCAGTGAGCCTATCTCCTTTTTTTTTTTTAATTAAGGCTTTTCAAATAGAAATGCTTGATCTTGCACAATTTTTATGTCTAGTACGTATGCTTGAGTGAGTGTGCAGGTATGAGAGATTAGAGAAGATCTGAGTCCCCATGCTTTATAGTGTGAATCTTGTGAGCTAATGCAGTCTACACCTCTCTCTTCCCTAGCTGTTTCGTATCTGTCAGGTTTAGGATGTATGTTCGAGAGTTGGTCTGTCTGACAGAATGTAAATGAGAAATAGATCATTCCTGAGAGGCTCAGAACAAATGAGTCTAGACTGAGTTACACTGAAACGCTCTTAAAGTGATTGGAACAAAGCAAAAGATTGCCCCATCCTTTAATCTCCTTGAGACCCTGTATTAGCTCATCTTTTTTGTACCGAACCTCCCATGATCATTGTAAGATTTCTCAAGATAGAGTTCTGCCTACAATGAAGGAAATTGAAATGGCCAAAAAGAAAGATGTTCAGTGAAGGGAAAAGAAAAAAATGGGCAAAGAGAAAGTGAATAGTCCAGGATTCTTTTTTTTTTCTTCTTCTTTCCTCTCTCTGTCCTCCCCTTCCCTCCACTGCGTCTCTTCTCTGTGGCTGTCTCCTGTCTCTGTGGCTGAAGAGAAGCTACTCTGAAAGTACTCTGGCTTCTGACTGCAGGGAAGTTAAGAAAAGTGTAGCTCTAATAAGATGGAAGTAGAAAGGAAGAAAAACTCCGAATTCTTAGAAGGATTCACAGCAATCTGCTGTGTCCCCGAGCCCAGGGTGCTGGTGTGCGTGAGTTCGTGAACATGGGTTGATGACATGGTTTTAGGAATTGTAATTATGGATTCTTCCCACTTCATGTAGATTGACTTCTAAGGTTTAGAACTTAGGAAACCTTTATAAAGCACTGATTATACAAAAAAATAAGTTGTATACAGGTTATGAAATTTTTTTTATTTCCTTACCTAAATGAAAGTTTTCATTTTTTTTTTTTTCCTAAGGAAAAAAGCCTTTTATACCTTTCCCTGTTGGAAGCCTCCTCATAGTCTTTCTTTGAAGTGTGTGCCGCACAGGTTGTTGAGAGCCCAACTAGGAGTTTACATTTCAGAGGATGAATTATCTTACCCTTTTCAGACAGTTACTATCTGACAGTTGAGTTATTTACAGTTATATCATTCAGGACTCTCCCTTCTTATTTATTATGAAGCCAGATTTGGTGTAAGGAGGCTGATTTATGAGTTGCCAGAAGGCCTTGTGGCGCAGTCCCCAAGGGAAAGTTGTGTATAGTATGTGCCCTTAGGAGGAAGAACTGTTAGTTCTAGTTTTGGCCCTCTCAGAAGTTGACTAGCTGTTATATGTTCAAATAACAATTCAAGAGAGTATAACCAGTACTCCAGAGACCTAAGCTTTCCTAAAACATCAGTGTTTGTAGGGGTGACAGCTCCCAGGGTGATTAGAAACACCAGGTTCTTGGTGTATACAGATGAACACAGAACACGAGTGGGTTCTTCTCAAGGGCAGGTATTCTAGGTGCGCACGTGTCCCTCTTTCATTCCCCCTCCCACCCCTACAAAGAGAAGAGACCCTGACACATGAGCTGCAGGTAGGCTTCTGAGCTTAGGGATGCAGTGTGCCGCCGGCATCTTGATGCTGAATTTCACAGCATTCTTTGTCTTCTTCTTTGCTGTTGTAGTCATACCTATATGTAGTGTTTAACACTGTAGAGTTGTATTACAGAAGATGCTAACTAGATTTTAAGAGAACTAAGGGACTAACTGATGAGCCTAAGAAACTATGCGTTGAATGCAGAATTTTATATTAAAGCCACAGAATTGAAATAAGATGCCTCCTGTGATTTAAGTGGTGATCTTACAGCTTTTAGCCCATGACTACCAAAGAAGACATTTGCAGATCCTCCCCCGCTCCTCTGATATTACATGAAGTTTAATCTTAGTTTCTCAAACCGGAACCAAATATTATCAGAAGATGCAATTTTTATGATACCTTTAGGGTGAAATAGATACACAGAGATTTTAATTCCTTAATTAGTAAAACCTAGGAATTTTCTTTTTGAGAGGCAGGGTAAAGAGGTGAGGGTTTTTGTCACTTAAACCTTACTCTTTGGGACAAATTTTATCTCAGGTAGTTTTTATTTCCCTCAGTTAACGTCTGTGCTTCCTTCCCTCTGCCTTTCCAATTTCTCATTCCGTGGTTTCGTCATGGTACATTTTTTGGCCCAGGAAATACCTATAAATTGGTTATTCTATAGGAAATCTTTGGTTCTTGGGAAACATCCGGAGGAGGTGACTAGCTAGCCACTTTCCAAACTCTGATGCCCTATTTCAAGGAGAGCAAGTCGAGCTGGACACCTCAGTAAAAGAAAGCAGCAGTCCAAGCAACTGTTGGCTGCATTTTAAAGGGACAATAAAACAGTAACCCTCTGGCAGTAAGAGATTGCACTTACTACCACTTGGGTGTCTTCCTTTGGTTTGTGGCCATCGGTATCGCAGCTCTTCGGGGAAATTCCCTCCCTGCTATGCCTTGAGCCAAAACTGGCTGCTTTTAGAACAAAACCATAAATGCAGTTTTACTTGTCCTTTCCTTTGTTTTCATTGAGACAAGGATTGCCTTCTTTTCGGTACTTCAGCTGCTATAGCATGCTGAGATATGTTAAATTAACCTTTAAAAAAAAATCCTTGAATTCTTATTTAACTTGCCTTCTACATTATATTTTAGTCTCTGAGCACATTTGTGATCAGGAATGCTGCCCGAAACTGTGCTGCCATGGAGAGGAAGTTGAAGAGAGAGTCTGGGCATAAGGTGTGTTTCTCTTTTAATGCACCGGGCTTTCACCCTGCTGAGGGCATCAGTTACCCTTCTGGAATAAATGCACACCCAAGGTAGAGCGCTCACGTTTCCCAGCCCCTTTGCGTTTGCTCATCCGGTGCAGGGAACACTCTTTCATCATTTTCGTCCCGACTTGATCATTTCTGCCATCGGTTTGACTCTGCACCATGACATTTTAGTTTCTGTCATTTAATAAAAATCAGCACCATTGTAACTGATGGTGATTATAATATCATAGTTACTGGGTGAGGCTGTGGGAGAGACACTCAGTGTGTTTTACCGATAGTTTTATGCAAGGGTACATGCTAGCTGGTATCGTTCAGATTAGGGTACAGATGGCATCGCGTCATGACGAAATTTTAGTCTGGTGGATGTGGAGACAGTCAAAGATTTAAGCAAGTGCCTTGTGTTTCCTGGAAAATATTAAAACTCATTTGGGTGAAAGCTCCCAGATGATGATAATTTATTGCACCTCTGCCTTTTCCTTGGAATAACTTTTGGATTAAGTCACATAGTATAAAAGTCCAAAATTTCCCTTGCTTCCCTTTATTTTATATGTGTGAAACTATTCATATTTGATCCCCCCCCCTCAATATTACATGTGATGGAAAGCCAGAGTTATCTGGCAGAATCTAATTCTTCCTGGGGTCTAGTTCCATTTTCAGTACTAGGTTCCTTCTTCAAATCTACTACTCTGGCTCTCTGATAGAATTTGTTTATTTCTTGGCAAATGTGGTCACGTACAGACCAGCTTTGGGGCATCATTAGCTCAAGAGAATTTCCATTTCTTCTTAAGGTGCTCAATAAACCACGTTCACTTGAGATGATAGTCTTCCCTTCGTATTGCCAGTAAGCTTTCTTGGTGAATATAAAGATGTTGAGTCTCTATGATGTGGAACTGCTCTGGACCTCTTGTGGTATACTTGGATAAGTTACATTTTCTTAGTTACAGAGGGACATGCATATTTTAGTTTTAAAGTCCCCAGAAATTTAAAGAATTTGTTTCGTTTTGTTTAAGGTTAGCTGCTTCTCTGCCTGATACCGCAGGATGTCAGGGTTATCTCAGCCGCCTCTCCCACCTCGCTGTTGGTCAGTTTTCTTTAAAATTGGGTAATGACCAATAGGTAGACACAGCGACACATAATTGACAAGTACTGTGGATATTTAAGAAGGAGGTGAACCATTTTAACTATTTTTGCTGCAATTTTATAGGGGAAATGGACTATAAAAGAAATACCTATAAACCAGAGAGCATGTAGGAGATTGTATATTTTATAGGTGGTAATTAAGGTGATCTTCAGGGTGTAAGATGCAAAGTTTATACAACCTTTGTTTTCCTGATGAAAAGTTTTTATTCATCTTCCTACAGCTTAGCACTTTTGTTGTTCCTTACGTGGCTTTTGAGGATTGATGTTTTAGATTCACTCTGTGCTTTTCAGACTGTCGTCATAATTGTGCGGTTCTTTTTATGTCACCATAAATGCTGGGATTCATGGGAAGCTTATCAGATGAGTGTTCTTTCCCATTAAACAGAGTAGCTTCCACAGTATCCTAAAAGAAACTGTACCTAGGGTCATAGTATTTTAGTTGAGAGGCAAAGAGAAGCATACTAT